CGTCCAACTAACAAGAGGAGAACAGGATGGAACACTGAAAAGATCTATCTACAGAAAGTCGACATGGAATGGACAGCTTACTTAACTTTCACAGCTGGGTACCTCTATACACCGGACGAAACCTGATCCGTTCACTCAGCTACAGAGTTCGCAGAATTTGCACCTCAAACATCATAGAAGATGAACTGGACAATATCAAGAGAATCCTCGTCGAGAATTGTTATCTAGAACGATTTATTGCGAGATCTCTGAATCTTAGAAAGCAGAAGCCGCCCAGTCTTAGCGTCCCAAAAAAACGACTCTGCATGAACCTTCAGTTCAATGGAGATATATCTGCGGAAACACTAAAAAATCGGCTGTCGCGCTCACTTAAGAATAACTTCTTCCAGCTGAACTACAACTAACCTTCTCCACAAAACCTATGATACATGTGAACGTGAAGGATAAGCTACCACTGCTGGCCTCATCAGTGTGTATTCATCAATTAACCTGATTGTGTGGTGCCAGGTATGTCGGCCGTACTCAGCGTTCGCTTTCCAAACGTATCACCGAACACTTACCAACATAGTTTTACAAAGGAGAAAAACGATGCTCCCGCAGCTCCATCTTAGAACATCTGATAGAATCCGGACACCAAGCTAAACTCCAGACAAACTTCAAGTTCCTTTAAGAACAACATGTAAAGACTAATATTGTGTTTTAATAGATCTTGACTGACACTTTTCATATTTTATAAGTATTAGCAAAATTGATTGCGTTCTATTTTGACGAATGACAGCAGTATGTACAACGCCTAAAACGTAGGAATCTTGCTTATTGACACCCATCAATACATTTCATCTACATTCTATAAAACAAATCGAGATTAGGACTAATAATGCAGTGAAGCACATCACAGCTGAAAAATTTAGGTGGTGGTCTGAGCTGGAAGTGAAAACTGACACTTGTATTGACATGACAAAAATGTCAAGCAAAGTAGGCGATATTAGGGATGAAAATTTGGAAAAATGGTAAAATCACAATGAATGACACACATTCAGCTGACAAACAAAATTGTTAGACCCTTTGAAAATATCATCTCAGTTAAGCATAAGATTCCTTCTTTCTACCTTGAGAAATAATAATAATGTGGGTGGTACGTACGACTTGCCATTCCTGAAAGGGATATATTTTCTATTTTTTTGGGATTCTGAAAAAAGATCTATTTAAAGAAAACCTGTCTGGACAGGACGGTGTCTTGATTACCACAGTTCCTTCCCTGTTCGGTACAAAAGGGCCTTAGTAAGGTGCCTCTCCAGGAGAATCCAACCAGTATGCAAGGAAGACACACTTGATGAAGCAGAAAGAAAGTTGACACTCTAGTTGATAATAATTATATAGGCAAGTTCATCAGGAGATATAAAGTAGTCAGTGAAACACCAAGACCCACTCTACAACTCGCCACTAAGAAAGACCTGTACATCAAGCTACCCTATATGATGCATCATAGCAGCTTGATAACTAGACAAAGATTGGACACTGCTGTGGTTAAAAAGACATATTATGCAGCTAATATCATGATAATTGAGAATGTAAAGCCAATATACCTATCTGAGCTCTTCGAACGTGCGAAAAATGATGTCATATCCTACTGTATTTACTTATTTGAATGTACGTGTGGACGCACATACATAGGGAGGACTCATCGATCTCTGCAAGTAAGGGCTGGCTCCATAGCATATTCCTAAGTGGTTCCAGAAACAAATGGAATCTTCAGGACCCATTGATGGTCAGAACAGACGACGACCTAGCATCTCTATTGCGAAACATATTATAGAGACAGGACATAAAATTGACGTTAACAGATCTTTTAAACCTATCTATAAAACGTGTTTGGGGCGTATCCTAAAGTTTGTGGAATCCCTAGCTGGCAATTAGGAAGTTTAAATCACCTTTATGCGTTCGAAGCAGCAATTCGTCATCACATTAAATCTTCCTTGGTAAACTTTGGTTTGATACTAGCTAGGGTAGATTTACTTTTACCTCTCCCATTTGGTTTAGGGGTCTTCATTGTTATTTTGACCCTGAATATGTCCTTTTAACTTGGCCTAAGACGTCTATTTTCTCACCTCTTACCTCTTTACTAATTTCATATATATTCCTATGACAAGTCCGTGTGTGATCCGATTGTTCGAAATGTGTTGCGCAAATACAACATTACACGATTCAGACAAACTACGTCTTCTTATTGCTTTATTGAAAAGTTCATGTTTTGAGTTTTCTGGCATAATTCTGAATCCCCCTAGCATGTAGACTCAACCATTTTCACACAGGATGTTGATGACAGCCCAATTAACTGAATGTTAATTTCTGTGATAGTTACACACAGTTAGCCACGTGCTCTTAGGTCTTAGATAACGTCATTTCCATTGAGGTTTCATATGCGATTTCCCGACTAGTATCAGAAAGTGCGATATCCAAAAACCTGAACCTTCCTGGCAGTCACTTCGAATTATCTAAAATAGCTTCATCTGTACTGGTGAGATTTTTCTCTAGGAAGATTGTCTATCTTGTCTCACTGTTATTTCGTATAATGTCTCTGTCTGGATTCAACATAGAACGTGGCACTGAAGTGCAGCAGTTCGAGTTGTCACGTTCCAAATAGCACACAAAGGTAGACAAGAAGATGAGTGAAGAGAATCAATAGAGTTTTGACAAGTATAAGAGTGAAACAGAATGAGTAGTTGTAGAAAGGAATATGAAAGATTACAGAGACCGAATACATCTGCGTAAGCCATTGACAACGATTTTGAGCCATGTCACCTATTGTCTCCAGCCTTCATTGATTCTTAGAGTCCCCAGGGCGGGCCCCAACCCAGAAGTTTGCATCTCCCTACCTGACTCAGTTTAATTGTCGGGTATTTCATGGATTGATGCCATGTTTTTGTTTGGCCACCACTTACTCTTTTCCAACCTGCACCTATATCAGCTAGTAATGCCCGTCCGTCTGGGGAGGCGATGGTTAGGCATGTGCAGCACGTCACCTAGCCATCTCAATCTATGTAACTTTATAGCCTCTTCGATTGATTTTCCCTCTTTGCCTAACACTCTACGCCTAACGTCAACATTACTTACCTTTTTATACCACCTAACGCGAGAAAGAGATCGTAAACATCTGTGGTGAAAAACAGTCAACCTTTTCATGTCTTCAACTCGTATTGGCCAAGTTTCCTATACTATAAAACACCAAGCAATATATACGTTTTCAAAGGTGTTTTCATATATAACGATGTCTGATTTTTGTAAAAGAGGGGAGGTATTCTTTCTAATCAACAGACACGTTGACTGAAGAAGTAGCAAAGACATGAATTCAAGTGAACATCGGGAAGACATAGATGATGAGGATACTTAACCAGCAGCTATGAGCACTATTCACCGTTAATGGGAAAGATTCCAAGCAGGTCACTATCGTCACTTATTAAGGAGACAACCTTTCAAATACAGGTGGTATGGACGGAAATATCAAAGCAAGTATCAGAAAGGTGTAAAATCTACTTCACTAAGCATAGAGAACAAGATTCGGATGTTCAGACAGTCAACACTTCACTAATAGTCCAGTGTCACCAAAAGCATTTCCTACAGGCTTCAGCCTTTTATGTTAACAGCTACGATCTGTCCATGTTTATTGATCAGATGGCCAGCTAGATTGGATTAGTAACGAAGAACTCTGGGTGACGATGTCATAGCGGTAAGGACGCTCGCCGACCAAGTCATTAGCTTGAAGCCCTATGTTCCACTGGGGAACGTGAAGGAAAAAATAAACTCTGGGAAGAAATAAACCAAGATACTATCACCCGAAAAGTAAGTTGAAGAAAAAAGCGGTGGATCGGGTACACGTTATTTAACAGTGTTGGGTGATATCACACACCAGATGAGAACTCAAGTGAAACCCGAATATAAAATGGTGGGTTGGGTGTCCGTTCGAAGGTGACATAGAGGATAACCAGTGTGTAAGAGATGCCAACTTATGGTAACTCATGGTGTCAGCTTAAGAGTACTGAAAAGAACAGGATAAAATCGAGATATGCTGTTGAATTTAAGGAGAAAATAATCAATGATACATTGGGAGAACAGGAAGAAGGGCATACATCTGATTTCTTGAACATATACTGAAAAGCTTAAGCCTCAAAGGAACAAATGCTTACAATAGTGTCATTACCGGACATCTCCTTGATTGATATGGGTCATGAGGTGGAAATCGTTAATCCCTTTAAAATTATCAATAGAAAAAAAGCCAGATATTCAAGTGTTGGTTTGTAGGGATTCGATTGGTTACAGGATTTTCATCATGAGCTGACATTAGTTAGAAAACCATTGTATAACCTCGGAGTACTGGACAGCTGTTTCGTCCTAGTCTGTGACTCTTCATCAGCACGCACCCATCGGGACTCGAACCCAGGACCTTCTGGTTCTCATTAAGTTTACCGGAGCAATCTCTGTTAAACGCCTGAAACTCTATTTATGTGTTCAGAAAGAAGCAGTGATCTTGTCAACCTGGTAACTAAATTTCGCTTGTCTCTTGTTTTTATGATTTGAGTTGAACTCATTACATTGTTACCCAAATTATTGGTTACACATTATCTTACGCATCTATTGTCGTCATTACGTAACTCTTTTGCCACTGTATGTATACATTTACTTTGTTTAAACTTGAACCCCCTGTGTATAAACTATGTAAGCTTAATTTTCTGAGCACTATTCACTAATTCCGTAACTTCCTGTTAACTGACATCATGTAAAATGTGAAAGTATGTTAAAACTTTCCAGTACATTTACTCAACAATAATTTATTTAGACTGTAAGCAGCTAAGCTGATGAGAAACCAACGAAACAAACGATGAGGGTAATAATATTATTCTACACAAACCGCCACTGTTATTTGTTGGTTTATTCAAATATATGATATAATCTTTTCCCATCTCCCAACGTAAAATTAAAAAAGAAAATAAGTCACAACTTACTTAAATATGAAACTCCAATGCCAATGAAATACTCCCATGGTAAATATTTCCAGGTGATTATTTCTGTTGAAGTCAAGATTGAAGTGAATACAAAAATTGGCCAAGTAACCAAAATATTGAATAAACCTGTTGTAACAAAGAAAATACAAAGAGATTTTCAAGCTGTAAAGTAGAAATATTAAGCAGATGTATTGCATCAAATCTATGTATTTCGGTTTCTTACACTGAAGCTTCTCGGTTCATGTTTAATGTAATAAAGCATATATCAACGTTGAGGAGGCCCTCGAATGACATCGAGTGCAGAGCAGGCCATTGCCAGAGTGGAATTCAAATGGGAATTAACGATTTGGTCGTCATTGCGAAGTTGATATGGAGGAGATCGTGTGGCAAGGAGGAGGAGGAGGAGATCAGGGATTACGGACAGTCGTGGAGCTAGCCAGATGAAGGGGATAGCAGATGTGCTCAAGTTGAAGCCTTGCGTTCTACTTGGAAGCCAAAAGGATAACAATAATAATAATCTACCATACCTATAATATCAAACAGTTCATTTATTTTTAAGCAATGGTTTGTAGAGATTTGGTTGATTGGTTATGGGATTTTATCATGAGCTGACATCGATTACAGAACCAATGGAAAACCAGTGAGTACAGGGTAGCTGTTTCGTCCCAGTTTCAGATTCTTTATCAGTACGCACCTATCGGGTTTCGAACCCAGGACCTTCTGGTTACAAGGCTAGCGAGCTGAGGGAATCGGCAGAGGCTAAAATTCATGGACCGTTGGGTCAGGTCCAAGTGGCTTAATGGTCTACGAGCCTGCATTGTAACCAGTAAGTCCTGAGTTCGAACGCCAGCGGTTGCATACTGGAGAAGAGTCCCAAACTAGGCTGACGAAACAGCTGCCCAGTACTCCAAGGTGGTTTTCAGTGGTTCTCTAACTGACGTCAGCTCATAATGAAATTCTGTAACAGATCTTATATTGTTATTTGAACAGTATCAGTTTACGAAGGGAATTGTGGTGAAGCGACATCCCAAACTATTTATTTCATAAATTGCGAATTCGACTCAACTGTTCACCTCAATAGTTAGTCTGAAATCGGCTGGTTTGAAATGGTTCGGTTTTCTGAGCTCAGTCAGATCAGGTACACTGTTGACGAATGATCTCGTCACCGAAAGAGCGAAACAGCCGTCCGGTGTTCAGATTAACTTCCATCTGGTTAGCAGTCACTATTAGTTGTTGTAAGTAGTTATCAGTTAGTGACTTCAGTTTATCAGTAGTATAGGCCACCCTGCATCTTGATTGCAATTTGTGGTATGTAGCAGATCATCTATTAGAACCTGAATAAGTTTGGTTTCCAAAGGAACCATGGAAGAATGTCTTCTCGAATAGTGACTTAGAATTCAATCTACCTTCGGTGTTGTTGCGTTTCCCTAGCTGGATGGTTTATTCATTCATTGGGAAACCTGGGAGTACTGGAAGGCTGTTTCGTCAGCCTAGTTTGTGAATCTTTATCGTAACGCAACCACTGACGTTCAAACCCAGGACCTTCTGGTTACATGGCAAGCTCGTAAACCATTCAGCCACTGGGATCCGGTCAAATAGTCCGTGCATTCTAACTTCTGTCAACTGCTGATATAGCGCGACCACTAGAGAATGTCATCTCTGGCAAGTATTTGTCCTCACCCCACCAGTCACGACTTCCTACTCCCAGCTCTTCTAGTGGTCCTCTAACCGATGTCAGTTCCTGATGAAAACCAAGTATGGAAATACTTGGCATCCATCTATACCAGAGAAAACTTAAGATGACTAAAAAAGCATCCATTCAGCAAAGTTCCCAAACTAGGAGGAATAGATCTCATCCTCGCCAACCAGTCCACATCCCAACAGGTACTTACATGACCAGAACTAGTGATGGGATAGTGCATAAGTTGTTGCCATTTTTCGATATGAATATTTCTAACTTTTTCAACTTAATCACATATAAACCAATATCCCCTATCGATGCAAGTGGTGGTTTGATATCATTGTAATGTATTTCCTAGTCGTTTCAATCAATGCAACGTCTCTCATCAACCGGAATTTTACTGAAATAATACTTTTCCTAGCCGAAATGGATTGCTCTTCCAGAGTCTCTTGCTCTTAGGACAGTGAATTCCAAACTGGTTGAAAAATGAAAATTCTCTGAACTTCTGACTTGACTGGTAGTCAATATAAGGTAGGACTGAACAGTGGTAATATACAGGAATAAAATAAATATCCACTGAGTATGATTATTCAGTAGTTTTCTAGAGTTATTTTGTAGGGATTTACTTAAGATAGTTGGAAGCAGTCGGGAGGAAGTCCTGACTGACCCAGGTTTTGCGCTAGTTGGCATTCACCAGTCATATGCAAAAGAGAAGACATTCAGCGAAGAGACTCTTTTCGGCGAATTCATTCACACAGCTGTACAATCGCATTTATATATAAATATTTGTGTGTGTGTGTACATGAGGTTTGTCAAGTTTAGATAATTGATTAGTTAATACAAGAATGATGTAGTATAGAGACAAAGTTAATCAGACAGCAACTAAAGTAGGATTGAGTTAAAAAAGCTAGATGACGTAATATAATTGGCTAAAATGTTACAACTTAGGTCAGGGTAGCAACAGAGGTAATTACAGGTAGAGATTAAGTAGAAGTGAAATTGAGTGAATAAGTTGGATGACGTAACATGAGTGACTAGAAACTGAGCGTTGTTCAAGTCAGTAACAGTGGTAGTGAGGTGTAGAAATTGAATCGGGTGGGGGTAGAGAACAAGAAAGTTGAAAATGTAAAATATTACAATTGAGAAGACAAAATAATACTAATGAAGAGACAGAAGAAAAGATTAGGTAGAATTTACATGTCGGCTAATAAGATAGATTACGTCCATTGCAAGTGTAGTGATTGAACGAACTTCTTCTGTATGCAGAGTTCAGGACTGAATGGCCATTGCTTCTGTAGTTTGAAGAAGTCTGATTCGTACACCTTTAGAGAGACTACTTCTTACTCTGTAGACGACTTTTATATATAAATGCGATTGTACAGCTATGTGAATGAATTCGCCGAAAAGAGTCTCTTCGCTGAATGTCTTCTCTTTTTCATGTTCACCAGTCAGTCAGCAAGGCTTATCTGCAACCTTGAAGGAACTCATGTCCTTTCTGAGATTCCAACTCGCGTCACTAGCCAGTGCTGCAGTCAGAGACGCTATCACTGAGCTATTCGGCCTCGCGATTGACCTCCTGTAGTACTGTAGTAGGTTCAGTTTGTTTGAGTTTTGATCACGGACTGATATCAGTTGGAGAACCGACTGGATCCGATGCCAGTTCGTGATCAAATTGCTACAACGCAACTCTTGAAAATTAATCTGATGTTCACTAGTGACTATCTGTAGGACAAAGCTACCTGCCTTTCTGGTAAATAGTCATCACGTCGAACATGAGGAGAAATACTCTCCGATGGCATTGGCTGATGGACACACTGAAATCCCGAATTGATAGAACTTTGAATTCATGGGCCATTTAACCAAGTTCTAATGGCTGAACGGTCTACGAGCTTGCCTTGTAACCGGGAGGTGTTGAATTCTAACCCTAGTCGGTGAGTACTGCCAAAGAGTTCAGCATGTGTTTATCTCTCTGTTTCTGCCTTCTAACGGCTAGTATTCACTAAATCGATAACTACGTAGAGTGGATATGAATAACGTAAAAATTGACCTGATTTATAATGGGATTTTTTGTAATCATTTTATTTTCATTTAGTTCATTATGAAGAGAGAAAAGAAACCCCGACAGTACAGTAAGATAGCATCTATCTCTAATGATTTGCTTGTATAACTGCTCACTCCACTGACTGCGTATTAGACATACTCGAAGACAAATCACTGCGTTCATAACTAATTAACTGACTAGGTCATTATAATGAAGTTTTTTTGTATTTCCCAATGAAAGAATGATAAACAAAACGATATTGTTTTACTAACGTCTCGCTAGTATATGCTGCTAATAGCTTTATCAAAGTAGTATCAATAATGACAAATTAATCATCGTTCCTCACTATGGAGTAATTTTAGCATTGTCAGATTGGCCAACCGGTAAAGATAACAAAACCAGGTGTAGATTGTTGGATTTGATAAGTGTGTGAAATTGTATAAGCAGCGTGTGTTTACAAAATGAAACTGCTTATCACATTCGTGTTGATTTTGTCATTTCATAAGGGAGAGACGGGTGTTTTAGTTCGTCATTCCTATTCAGACAATTTGGATTACACTTGATATGAAGTGCTTCTGATGATATTAGACGTTCTTTGTGATTTCTGAAATTTTTCTGGATTATTTCAATATTGTCAAAATCAGTTTTGTGGCCTGATTCTATAGTGTGTAGACCATCTATGGCTGATGATTTTTCAAGCATTACTAGTTCAACTGGATTTCTCGGTGATAGTCGAACAGACGCTCTACAGTGTTCATTTCTTCTGATTAGCTTGATTTCTCCTTGGCGATGTTTGTCGGATGTATATCGCATCTTTTTCCAGACAATTCTGTATTTTATAAACACAATTAGATAGAGAATCTTTAGGGATTCGGTCTTTTATGTGTACAACGTTGCTTCGAAGTGTGTTTGATGTTTTGAAGAAAACTCTGATGATGTGCTTATTGAGTTCTTTTCTGATATCGTCTGACGTCTCCGATCTATATAGAATGACAACTGTTGAGGTCCGCGTTTTTGGAATACGTTTCTGCCCATACTTAATGTCAGTGTTGATTTTGTTGATGAATTCCCTTGGGTAGTTGTTTTGCCTGAGAGTCTCAATAATGTTTGATATTTTTTCTTCTTTTTCTTTCTCATCCGTTATCAAAGACCGTGCTCGTCTAATAAGACTTGAAACAACTGAAAATTTTGCGCGGATGGGGTGTGGTTATCCGAAGTGTAAATATTCGTTGCTGGAGTGGGTTTTCTTCCTGAATATGGATATACTAAAATGTCTGTTTTCCGTCTTCTTAACTAGTCAGGCAGTCTAGAAATAGTAGTTCACCGACGTCTGATTCTGCTTCCAAAGTAAACTAACTAACTAACTAACTAACTAACTAACTAACTAACTAACTAACTAACTAACTAACTAACTAATTTTCTACCTCACTACCCAGTATATATATTTATATATTCATCTTTGCACCAATTCGTTGGACATCTTCAATATAATAAGATTAATGGATTTCTGTTGATTTATTTCAGACCCGTAATATGTAATATACAATAAATAATCTTATTTGTACGGTTACCTAATCCATAAAAGGTATGAATTTCTCAGTAATCCTTTTCTTTATGAATTTTTCCCAACGCTTACTTACTTTTACGTCATAAGAGAATTAGCTTTTTGCCTGTCATTTCATATTTTCTACATTGTGTTAATTTAATATTCTTTCTGTCTCACTATCTCTGTATTTTTCATTTTCTACTCAGTATGTCTGATATTAGTTACGAAATTTCTATATGTTCATTGATTTTATACTCTAATTCTTATGTTCTTCTCCCGTAGTTCAGTTTAATATTAATATTTATGATAGAATTCTTCATGTGCCTACTGAGTAATTCTCATGAGACTGCGAAGTAGATATTAAGCGTTTCATTAGGAATATGGGTGAATGCGTGAGAGTTCATGATTTTTGTTTTTGAGGCAACTGTCTTTACGATCCTGTATGGAGGCCAACTGACTGCACTTCTTGTGAGGTTTCTGATCACTTCTAAGGTGGAGAACCATCGTCTGTGGAAAACTTCTAATGACCTACTTAGCTGCAGCGATTTGGATAGATTGAGAACAATGTAACTGTTTGATTTCACATTAGTTGATGTAACATACAACTGTACTGTTGCCAATGCCTTTCTACCTGATTGTATTATTAGCTCTTATTACTATTATTCATTCGGGTTTCGAGTGGAACATACGACTTCAACAACACATCTCCACTTTCTTCTATTCTCTACTGTCCTCTTCAGCTGGTTCTATGGTTGCCCATAATCTCTCATTTCTTTCTCACACAATCTCCTACATGTCGCCCTCGCTCCGACGACCCACTGATCGCTTCCCACTGAGGTCCCAACCGATCACTGACCTGCACTGCGAGTGATGTCATTCAATAGGCTCCTCAACTTATGTCCGATCCATCTCCATCTTCTCTTACATATCTACTTGTTGAGCAGTCGGCCCTTGGTCAGTTTGTTGGCAGAGTTTCTTGTTGCTAATTCTTTCTGGGTAGCTGGCCGGCAATTTGATCTTCAGTGTGGAGCCAGTGAAGGGACAGCAGTTGATAAAAGTCTGTAACTTCTTAGGAATCCGTTTCGTGACACTCAGGCTGTGTTTTATGTCGTACAGAAGAGGAGACTGACTGACTTCACATTTAGGTTGAAAATCCGAATCTTGTTCTTTATGCTGGCTGAGTCGCAGTAGAAGATTTCCAAATTGGCTTCAGGTTGATGAAGGCGTATCTTGAACTTCCGATTCAGGTTGGCTGACTTTGCCATCTTCATTCTTGCTGTCCGACTGCCTACAGTTAGAAAGATGCTTCCTAGAGAAGTGAAGGCAGGAGGTAACCCGTGGTAAATCTCTCCCGTTGATGGTGATTGGTGATGGTCGTTGTTGTTGCTGTTGGTGGTTAGTTGGTTGTCTTCATCACCTCCATCTTCTCAATGTTCACCTGGAATCCAGTCTTCGCTGCCAGCCTCTTCAGCGAGTTTGTTGTTTTTCGCCTTTAAGTCTTCGAGTTTGTGTGTGTAAAATTAAACATATATCATCCATGTGCGAAATCCAAATCTTCCAGAGTACTATTATCATTTAGTGCAACCCCTTCCTTTATCCTCATCCCAAAGCATAGTCTGATGCATTATCCATCCCACTACAATTAAGAATATCATCAGCGATAACAGGCAGCCAGCCTTGTCTTATTCCTTTATTCTCTTGGAATACCTCTCTGACTTCACTGTGATAAAGTCAGCTATTCGAATGCCTTTTCGAAGTCGATGAAGTTGAGGAGGAGGTTTGACTGCCATTCTATGCTTTGTTATGTAATGACAATGCATAGAGTTGCTATCTGACCAGCCTATAATTTGCCTTTGCTGAATCCATCTTGTTCCGGACAGAGTTCTGTAACCGTCGCATCTTTTATTCTCTCCATGGTGATGCAATTTAGTATTTTATTTGGTGTGGACGAGATCATTGTTCCACACCAGTTAGTTCTCGCAGAGCGGGGCTTAAATCTCCCTTACTTGGTAGCTTGACACTTTAGTCAGCCTTTCTTACAATAGGTAGGTACCTTTCCTTCCCCCCAAACATTTCGCGATAATGTCGTGAGCACATCCCTTAGCTCTCAAGTGAACAGGAATTCAGGAATCTTCATTTGATTCTTTTCAAAAAGGACCTCAGCTATTTGGTTGTTGTTAGCAAGAAGTGGAATCGGAAGCTGCATATATCTGCTTCTCTTGCTGGTGGTATTCCGAACTCTTATCAGTTCAAATGCATTGTCACGAGGACCGACTTCTGTACAACGGGCATAAGTCGTTATTTTTTGAAATTATTATCTTGAATTCCCTGTTGATTGGGTCGAAATACTCAGTCACTGTTGACATATTGATTCCTAGTACACTTGCTCTGACGACGTCTTTATATCAATATGATGTTATCTGGTCAGGCAAAATGTTCCCGCTGGCTTCCATTGATGGCCAACAACAGCCGAATAACAACACGTTAATCTTAGGAAAGCTTGAAAGCACTCGTAATAGAAGTCGTATTGTCAGTAGAAATCGAGCCTTTAGCAGAGATTAAATAGGTCGATGAAAAATTCACAATGTTCATTGCAACAAATAAGACCTTCCGGCAGTTTAAAGTTTATTCACGATTAGTCTGTCTACATTCAACTCTTCTATGCCTGGAGCAAAAGATGAATTTTAGGCAAAAGCTTGTAAACGAAGCTTTGTAACAATGAAACTGCCAATAAATAACTCTGAAAACTTATTTGAAGTTGTTTGAATCTAGGGGTGATTAGCTGCAACACTCACTACCAATCATAACGCTTTTATAGGCAGAACGAGTATAGTGTATTTCAAACGCCAGCCGGAGCAAGTGGAACTCCTGTGGAGCTAGATTTTATTCCTATTTTTCGATTCTGATCATAGCTTGATTCCAAAACCGTATTTACGGTTCAAGTATGGAATTTTCAGCTTGTGATATCGGCAGCCCAAATTCTGCTGGCTGACCATTAATATCTGTTGTGCGTCGTCAGGGGATCGAATCGCGAACCATGTGCATTGTCGGAGAGATTCCTAACCGCTGTGCCACTGATGCACCGATGCATCGTTCTCTTTCTATTCTCTGACATCACACTTACTTTGGTCTACCACTTCAGAAAATTGACAACTCAGAGAATACTTTTGGAGTTATTAGTAAAGAACACAGTTTGAGGTTCATTTTCGGCATTACGTTTCCTCAGCTGTCGTCTGCTTAGTGCCAAAAATAGCGTCAAGACAACAGGCAGAAATCCAGAGCTCATATTATCCAGCATTAGCATAGACCTTCGCGACTGTCTACTTGCCTTCTCCGCACTGTATGTATTAGTGAGCGAGTCAATTAATGCTATCTGAATATTTCTGGATGCCAGAAGGGAGACCGTAGTGAAATATAACTTTGGATATAGAGATCTAGACAAAACTAAAGATTTTTCCCACAGGCTTCGTAGTTTCAGGAACGGTACTATTTTATGTGACAGGATAGAGGTACTAGCCTCACATCAAACCTTTCTTCCTACCAGCACTTACTACCAACTAAGTAAGGTTTTGAAAGCATCGGCCATGAATCAACAGTAGATAACTTGCAAGATTTTGTGAGTATTGTACGACTGAACAGCAATTCACTGTTGGGTGCCATCTATAATCCACTTGTCGTCTAGTCTCTAGAACAGATATATAATAAGATTTTAGTATATATACATTAATATTCAAGTATCGCTTTGTAGGGATCTGATTGATTGATTACAGGATTTCATCATGAACTGACATTGGTTAGAGAACCAGAAGGTCCTAGGCTGGAACCCTGGCGGTGGGTACGTACTGTTGAAGAGTCCCAAACTAGGACGAAACAGCTGTCCAGTACTTCCAGCTGGTTTTCCAATGGTTCTCTAACCAATGTCAGCTCATGATGAAATTCTATATACATTACTGTTTAACGCGTACAGTCAAAGCAGTAGTGATTATTGCTTAGAATAAAAAAGGCTGCTTACCCAAAGCAAAGTAAAAACACGCCATTTGTCCAAAAGACGGTTTATTACTGATCCGTTTCAGAATAACCTAAGATAATGGACAGTTGAAAAAAAAAATTACAGAAATAAGCTCAATCAAGTAAAATAAACAAACAAACAAAAATAACTCACTCCTCCTACGCATTTGTAATTTCTCCTTTATTCATTTATTTAATCAATTACAATACAAAACACGTCAATATCCACTGATGAGTGTTCATCATTATTTATATCACCTAACTAAACAAAATATTTACAAGTTGGAGGTAGATGAAATCAAAGCATGAAATCTAAATGCATTCACTATACTCATAGTGGATAGATTAATCTCTTCAAACAACCCAGGTATTAGATGGAGGATTTTGTCGTGAGCCGACATCAGCTAGAGAACCACTGGAAAACCAGCTGAAGGTACTGTACAGCTGTCTCGTCCTAGCTTGGGACTCTTCATCAGTACGCATCCACTGCCAGGGTTCAAATGAGACCCGAACCTATGGCCCATGAATTCTAACTTCTGCCAGTTCACGACATAGCATGACCACTTCACAATGTCTTCTTCGATGAGTTACTGCCTCATCTTCAACCTGCTGTACCCTACTGGCTACGGCTTCCCACTAGAACCCCAGGTCACTGCCTGAATAGGGTCAGTCGCTAGTGATCATCAGATTAATTTTAAAGTATCGGTTTTGTGGGGATTTCGTTTGATTAGATGGAGGACTTCATCATGAGCTGACTTCAGTTAGAGAACCACTGGAAAACCTGGGAGTACTGGATAGTTAACTGTTTTGTCCTAGTTTGGGACTCTTCACAGTGGTTCTCTAAGTGATGTCAGCTCATGATGAAATCCTCCATCCAATCAAACGAAATCTTTACATAACCAATACTTGAAAACTCAAGTATTAATTTGTAGTCAATAATTCATTTGCGAATGTCGCATTTTATAACTTCAATACTCGTAGTGCTAAACAACACGATCAAATTACCAAGTAGGTGGAAAAACAGTTGGCCTGCCATACTGTGCAAGACATCTCTTTTAAGAGAGAGGAACAGACACAGTGCCACATAAGTGACTTACGCGGACTGTAGATATTTTAACCTGTCCTGAAGTCCAGTCTTGTCGCACCTATGATTGCCACGTTGAACTTTGTCATTACTATACCCTTAGTAAATTCTCTAAAATCAATGTAAAGCGTGATCCAGATTTTCAATTTCTAATGACAAAGGATTGCTTCTATGTGATTCAGAGACTTTCCAAGAGCTTCAATAATGGCATTTTTAACAGAATGCTCTAAACTTTTATCATTCTGTCCATGATGAAAGTTAGACGGTCAGCTAGAAAAGATTAGCAACAAGAAACTGTGGAAGAGAACGAAGCGAGAGTCTTTCACCAGAAAAAATTTACAGGACAGTTCAAAGTGTGAATAGTAATAGTCAGGTATTGGTTTTGTAGGCAATTTTGTTTGATTGGTTGGAGGATTTCATCATGAGCTGACATCAGTTACAGAACCATTGGAAAACCAGCTGGGTGTACTACCAGACAGCTGTTTCATCTTAGTTTGAGACTCTTCATCACTACACACCAACCGACAGGGTTCGAACCACGGAATTTCTGGTTACAAGAGTAGCGAGTTCTTAGACCAATAAGCCACTGGGACCCAAGCCGATGGCCAGCCGATGAATTCCAACTTCTGCTAATTCATGACATAGCGTTACTGTGGTGAGAGCTGGCTGCTATCCAAAGTTGGTAGACAGTAATTGACGTCAGTGTTTATGTCCCCAATATTGGTGGTGAGAAAATGAGAACAAAGGCTTTGCGTAGGCGGATACAGCTAGCATATGGATGATCTGACACAGCAAGGTTAACTTTCTGTGAGAAGCAACCAATCAAAAAACTGTATTTTCTACTAACAATAATCTACAATAATGTACATTAAAATCTATAAATATGTGTTGATTTTCCTTAATAAACGATCTGTTGCCTGGTCCTTGTCTTCTGTTGTTACACTGCTACTTGCAATGTCTTCCTTGATGAGTTACTGCCTCACCTTCAACCTGCTAGTGGGAAGCCGTGACCAGTAGGGTACAGCAGGCTGAAGATGAGGCAGTAACTCATCATTGAAGAAGACATTGCGAAGTGGTTGTGCTATGTCATGAACTGGCAGAAGTTAGAATTCATGGGTTGACCATTGGGTTAGGCTCCAGTGGCTTAATGGTCTATGAGCTCACTAGCCTTGTAAGCAGGAGGTCCTGGGTTCAAACCCTGTCGTTTGGTGCATACTGATAAAGAGTCTCAAACTAAGATGAAACAGCTGTCTGGTAATACACCCAGCTGGTTTTCCAATGGTTCTGTAACTGATGTCACTTCATGATGAAATCCTTCATCCAAGACTAATAATAGCAATTGACGTAATAAAGGGAAAGTATACAAATTGAATAGACAAAAAAAATTTGGTAGAGTTAAAATATGATTGGGGATTACCATACTTAAGCATAGAGGGATTAATGACATGAAAGTTGGAGCGGTTAAACGAAGTTTTTTAGCTTTTCTGTTTTGATAGCCAAAGCCTCAGTAATACAGATGAGTCGGTTACGTAATGATAAGGGCAAATTACTTTTCGCCTATTAGATGACTTTAAAGGCGGAGGCTGTAGAGATAAATTCGTCGAAAAGAGTCTCTTCGTTGAATCACTTGTTTTGACATTTACATGCCCCGTTAGGAATTTTCCATGAATTAAAAACAATTAATGTCATAAATAGAATAATTCATAAGATGGATATGTATAGATATTGGAAGTTGATGTATTATTGTAGAATTAGTAGGCAAATATAAAACGTTCGTTACACAACATGGTGTTGAATTCGATAATATGGAATTCAATAGTGAAAAATATTTCTGATTTCGAATGACAAGTGAGACTAGTGAAGTAATACTGAAAACAGTCCAGAGTGAGAATACTAATTATAATAATAATCTTAGCAACGAAAGAAAGGTACACAGATTAACTAAATAAACAAAATAAATAAATAAAGGTCTATCTCTCTACAGCCAAGACAGAAGTAGGGATTGTACATACTTCTTTCGTACACAAAGATTTGGCTAAATATCCTGAATGACCAAAGCCTCCTCTGTCTTTACAAGCTCATAAGGAAGAAAACGTGGTGATTTAGCGTGAATTAGTTAGATGATCTTAAAACTATATCCAAGGTTGAAAGAGTAAGTGACACCCCCTTCCAACATCTATACATCCTATGAATTATTCTATAAATGACATTAATTGTTTTACCACGAGACACTTCATATTTAACTGATTATAGTCACAAATATTTTATTTGCATTTCATACTACTATAATTACTTCACGTTTGGTTACGGGATTTCATCATGAGCTGACATTGGTTGGAGAACCACTGGAAAACCAGCTGGACAGCTGTTTCGTCCTAGTTTGGGACTCTTCACAGTACGCACCCACCAGGGCTAGAACCCATGACCTTCTGGCTACAAGGCTAGCGATCTCGTAGACCATTAAGCCACTGGGACCTGATCCAATGGCCCATGATTCCTAACTTCATGTATTCACACCGTTGATCAAATTCCCTCACCGGATTTAATATCTTAAGAAAAAAGTACAGTTTGATTATAAAGAGTTTCTTCACTGAATATTGTATTCTTAAAAAATAATAGATAAACAGCATGCAATACTGATTGATTCCAGAAATTGGAAGTCGCTCAACACGACCGTTATTGTTTCCTAGCTAGATTGCAGTTTTTGCGCATCTCTAGCGGGTTAGTTTTTATCACAATTCTTGACTTTAATCGAATGCAAATATGACAAATAACTCAACACTTACTGTAAATAGTGAAAAGGTGATTATCGCCAGACTTGTTAAACATTTGTACCACATAACTATTTGATCACTGTATATATTAAGGATTACACCACTGGAAGCCATGATAAATGCAATCACCTGAAAGAATTTATAGAACTTTTTTAGTTAAATATATATATGGCTGTATATAACTTTAGAGAAGAAATATTCTTGAAATCATTTTTGACTAAAGTACACGAGGAAAAGAAAACAAATTAGTCAGGTTTGATCACACGCCCTGATATGTTTATCTATAGACATTGGGCTAATGGATAGGAAAGCTCTACATCGACAAAAACGTAGGCAACACTTTCAGACAATAACAAATTTTTTGTTTCTTATAAATACGGGTGTGGGGGTTGGTAAAACTGAAGGAATAATTGAAAAGTACAACTCACAGAAATATTTATATTGCTGAAGAGTGATTACTTCATCAATGAGGATATCTTTGAAGACATTCGGTTGACCGGTTCAGTAATACCGAAGTTGTGCAGGACGGTGAGAACACCTAAGCATATACTACAACAAGGGTGCTTATTATCACCAATGATATTCCTAATTGTGGTGGACTGGATTATGCGTCAGACAGCGGGAAACGAGAAAACAGGGATATCCTGGACTGACATGAAGAATCTAGAAGACCTAGATTTCGCACGTGGATGATTTATGTTTGATGTCACACAAAATCGAAGGCTTACAAGCGAAAACCGACAAACTTGTTGAAGAAGCAGCCGGTGAAGACAGGACTGCAGGTGAACATAGACAAGACGGAGGTTATGAAAATAACCAACCAACAACAACAACAGCAGCAACATCCAGTGCCAATCACCATCAACGGGAGAGATTTGGAAGAGGTTACTTCTTTCACTTATCTAGGGGACATTGTCTCAACTACAGGAGAAACGTACAGACGAGGATGTCAAATCGACAATCGGGAAGGCGAGGAACGCATTCATCAACCTGAAACCAATCTGGAAATTTTCGTCACTCAGCATCAACAACAAAATTCAGATTTTCAATACCAACGTCAAGTCAGTCAGTTCTTCTATACGGATCAGAAACTTGGCGGGTCACAAAGAATATTTCCAACAGCCTGTTGCAGACCTTTATCAACAACTGTCTTCGCTGGCTCTATACCGAAGATCAGATGGCCGGAAAGAATCACCAACAAGAAACTATGAGAACAAACAAAACAAGAACCAATCGGTCAACAAATATGCAGGAGAAAGTGGAGGTGGATTGGACACTCGCTGAGGAGGCCGTTGGGTGACATCGCGCGTCAGGCCATCACTCGAGTGGAACCCGAAAGGGAAGCGGCGAGTGGGACGTCCAAGGGTGACATGGAGGAGATCGTGTGAAGAAGAGTTGAAACAGTATGGACCAACATGGACGCAGGTGAAAAGTACAGCAGAAGACAGAGGCAAGTGGAGATGTGTAGTTGAAGTCCTATGTTCCACTAGGAACCCAAGGTAACAATAATAATAATGCTGTATTTTGAACGTGTCTGGATCTTCTTATTGATCAGAAAGATAAACAGCTTGCTGATTTCATTGACTTCACTTAATATCGATTGATTCTTCACAAATTGCCTGATTACAGGGACGATTTGCTTCCCATGTACATACTTTGAAGACAGCAACTTAAATGTTGAAATGACAACTTCACAATTACGTGAGTATTTGTACTTTGATGCAATTTTAACTCAAAATTCATATTCTATGGTTTGATTTACAGACAAAAAGATGGAGTAGTCATGGGATCAACTTAGGTTCATTACATACAGACATTTCAGTGGCGAGTACGGCAGACGGTCCGCTCAAATCAACTATTGATGGCAGTTTTCGTTATAAAAAATGTATGTTGATGAGAATTTTACAATTTGTGACATAAATAATATCCTAAGGGTTTTATAACTTGCCACCCAACCATCAAATTCACTACTGAGGTAGGAACCAGACAAACGATCTTCTGAATGTCCTAGTGACAAAGAAGGTAGTGGGACCTTATAAGAATTAATATTTAGAAGATTTAAGTGGAATAGCCAGCTGAAAATTTGATGCCATAAAATGCTGAAGAAGCCCGATAGTAACTCTTTTGAAAAGTATGGAGCCGGAGTTATTGGGAGAAAAAATCATCTTTCTAAGGAAGATGCCAGTTGAAAATGAGCATCCTTCACATTTTACGGAGGAACATATAAGACAGAAGCCCAGAGAGGAAAATTCCATCTCCTTGCTAAATGTCTTTTACGTGAATATGGCTTTTGAAGGCTATTTTCTGGTAGGCTGTATCAAGTAGAGAATATCGGGTGCCCTGAAGACATCATTCTAAACGTCTACATTCCGACTGATATTCCCCTGACTTCAAAATCTCTCCAGTAACTTGAAAAATAAACTGCTGTATTTGACGCCGTATTTATGCGTCGTTCACTGGCTGTTTCATCGAAAACAGTCATGGAATATCATTCTACATGGTTGAAAAGAGGTTAAAATCAATTTTAGTATGAAGTGTTATAATTAAACATATTTTCTGCATTGGTAATTGAACGTTTAACGAAAATTCAGATCCAAGACGGTTGAATAAGCCTCGTCCACCTACTCCATCTAGCTTGGAAATGATTCCGAACCCAGTTTTCATAAATATTTTGCTGTTATAACTATTTCGCTTTGGCTTTCGTTTACTCTGTTCATTTGTTACTTAATATAGCCAAAAAATATTCATTGCGACACTTAGAAACAAAACACTGAGCAAAGAATATTCCTTCCGATAATTTCCTCTTCTGCCTCTGCATAAATATATTTGTATACGCAGAATATTCTAGAACAACCGCCATTAACGATATTGATGATTTCAAATAATATCGATTCGTTAGGCTTGATCAATGGAATTACATTTCAAGAAATACACTTAAGGTATAATAAGCATGGAAATGTAGTAACGAATAGAATGTTAAATAAAATTAAGGAAATTTCCACAACAAATTGAGGATCATTAGAACCTTGATAGCTAAGGTAAGGACAATGTCTTAACCAACTTCCATCAAAGCAGGCCAAAGTAACAATGATTCCGAAAAAGGCCTTATTCTTATAACTTCACTTCCTCGGCGATAATATCATTGAGATAATAACACAACGCCTAAGCAATACGGCTGTAAAAAGAGCATTTAGTGGTGATGAATTAATGCTGTGTCTTCAAAACCATCCGTAGGTTGCGTTCGGGAGTTAAAAATAAACTGCCTAATTTCACCTCTTCTATGATGTATATCTACCATTTTGACTGCTCCTGTTGAGCCGGATACATAGGCCATAGAATTAAACGTATTTATCGTCAGATTCCCCAACATTATCCTGCGTAGTTAAGAAAAGGACAAACAAAATCCATGCATTTCGCTATTCCGTCTCATCTTGTGGATACATAAAACAAGACTGATGTTAACGAGGCAGCTTTCAACGCCATTTACGGCATACCAAGTAATCTGAACTTACATTAAGAGTTCGTCTACTACATCTTGCTGAGGCCGAAGAAGTTAGTTCAGACACTGTCCATTCTAACCTTGGCCATCAAGGTTTTAAAGATTCTCAATTTTTTGTGAAAATGTCCTTAATTTTATTTGTTATTTTATTCGCTATTACATTCTCATGCTTATTTTAATTCATGCATTTTTTTGTGAACTGTAATTCCCTTAATCTTACTTAACAAATTGATAGTATCTGAAATCACCAATATTGTTAATGGCGGTTATTCTAGAATATTCTAAGTATTCAAATATATTTTTATCTTTGTAATTGTAGAGGCAGAAGAGGAAATTATCGAAAAGGTATTCCTTGCTCAATTTTTGAAATCGTTTTTGTTACGTAATATGCATATGAATGTTCGTCGTTGTTATTTCCATCAATACCTACTTAGCTTTTAGTTGAGGCCTATTCATTTTTACACCATCAGTTACATTCTGGTTAATCTTCATTGTCTCATAATATTTTGGTGGTTGTATCTGAGACGGATGTTTAAAAATGTGTTTTGATTTATCAGACTAAAATTATTATTTATTCCCTTGTGTCAAAAGCGGCATATAGGGAGGGCTTCAACTGGAGATGTCCATTTTTTTCCTGTTCTCTTTACTCCTGTTTAGCTGGCCTCACGTTTAAGCCTTTATCTTTATCTCACACGATCTTCTCTATGTCACACGCTGGGTTACCATCCAACTCGTTGTTTCCCATTCTATGGCCTCGCCGTTTCCTCAGCTTGTGTTCAATGCATCTCCATTGTCTTCAGAATGTGTGCTGAGCAGTGGGTTCTTGGTTGGTTCGTTCACACACTTTATTGTAGATAATTCTTTTCGATTGGCTAAATGATCTCCAGTAAGGTGCAAGCGGAGGCAGCTGTTAATAAAGGTCTGAAAGATATTGGAAATGCTTTTCGTTAGACACCGGCCAAGTTTCTGACCAATATAGAAGAAGAGACTGATTTAACATCGGCATTGAAGATCTTATTTTTTTTGTTTATGCTGTGTGCAGAATATTTCCAAACTGATTTTCCAGATTGATAAATGCCTTTTCTGACCTTCTGATTCCGGTTTTGATATATTTATTCGTAATGTCGTCCATATCTGAAACTATGCTTCTCAAGTCTCACAGATTTATCCCGTGGACGCTGACAGGTGCTTCTTGTTGTTGTTGTTCGTTGGTCGTCTTCATCAAATCCGTCTTCTCTGTGTTCACTTAAAGTCCCGTCGTCGTTATCTGCCCCTCAGTCCAACTTCCTGATTTTCGCCTAAAAGTCTTCGAATACCGAACGAATACACAAGCACTAAATAATTATATATAACTGCAGTTATACAGTTAGGCGAATGAAATCGCTATTAACTTTCTCACCTGAACTATATGTTCTTATTTCCACATATAGTTAGGTATTTTCCATATACTGGACAGCTATTTCCTCCTGGTATGAGAGTGAGGATGGATTTCCTGCCGATGACACCTGCTAGTGATCGCGCTAAAATCACGAAATGGTAGAAGTTAGAATTAATGAAGTGACCATTTAATCGGGTTTCAGTGGCTGAATGGTATACGAGATTGCCTTGTAACCAGGAGACCCTGGGTTCGAACCCTTGTGCTGGCTGTGTACTGCAGATGATTCCCAAAACTAGGATGAAACAGCTGTCCAACACTCCTTGTGCCTGGTTTGCACTGGTTCTCCAACTGATATCTAATTCTTACTGATCAACTAATCAATAGGGTGTAAAAATAGTCCTTGTCAATTTCAGCTCTCCGCCCATTGAATATCTTTCATTCTAAGCCTACGTTCCCCCAATATCTTTAATGATTTATGGCCCATTACTTTATTTATTCAAAATTCCTGGTAAAATGTGACTACATACATCTGGGTTTTTCAGTCAAGAAGCGAAACAGAGATGACAAAGTTGGCTCTGCGACATCCATCTTCTTCTCAACGATTACACAATCAATCCTAATTGATGACGCAAGTGAAAAGCAGTAGCTTTTGCAATTTAAAGTGAATAACCCCGCTGGGAAATATAGGTAGGTAATCAAGAATTCATAAACGTCAGACTATTAACAAAATCAATAAACTCAGAAATTTTATATATCTTTATGTTTATAACTACAAGTGGCTTTGTGGTAATAATAATAATTACAATTAATCTTTTTGATTGTAAAAACATTTTATGCTCTCAGAATGATTTACTCAAACATTCATCTGAAGCAGAATTTATTTTTTTTGCACGATTCTGAGTACATACGAAAAGTTGACTAAAACTGCACTGGTTGTATGCTAGAATCTTTTTATTTCTTCACGTTCCCAGTGGAACATAGGGCTTCAAGCTGGAGGCTTGAAGTTTCTGTAGCAGTGTTTTATTTTTACAGGATGGGTTGCTAGCCTCATGCCCAACCTTTCCTCTTTATCAACTTTATTTCTGGTTTAGCGAGGCAAAGGAGTGCGTTGGCTGGGGATCGAACCTCGGACCAAGTGTATGGTCGGCGAGCGTCCTAAACGCTGTGCCACCGACGCATATGCAAGAATAGTGTTCCCAAAACAGAGTAAAGTTATCTTATTTTTATTCCGTTGGGATTTTAATAGAACATAGACGTTCAGCAGTAGTCGTGTCTAATTCATAATTTCACAATCACGTTCATCTCAACGGCCTGGTACCAATTCACGGCATAGCGTGACCGTTTCGCAATGTCTTCTTTGATGAGTTACCACCTCAACTTCAACATGCTGTGCCCAACTGGTCACAGCTTCCCACTAGAACCTCAGGTTAAATGCTTGCCCACTGGGAAGCCTTGACCAGTAGGGTACAGCAAGTTGAAGATGAGGCAGTAACTCATCGAAGAAGACATTGTGAAATGGTCGCGCCATGTCGTGAATCGGCAGAAGTTAGAATTCAAGGACCATTGGATCGGGTCTCAGTGGCTCAATGGTCTACGAGCTCGCTTGCTTTTTACCAGAAGGTCCTTGGTTCTAACCCTGTCGGTTGGTGTGTGCTGATGAAGAGTCTCAAACTAGGAAACAACAGCTGTCCAGTACTCCCAGGTTTTCCAGTGATTCTCTAACTGATGTCAGCTCATGATGAATTCCCCCATGCAATCGATAGCTTGTTTAAAATGGCAGACCAAGTCTTTGAGCCATATAAAGGAGCTGATCGGACATTAATGATGAAGACCTCAACTTTTTTACCTCAATGCTGGAGATTTTCATTCTGACTTCAGATTCATGAAGATCTTTTTTTCTTTTCCGACCTTGCCTTAGGCATCTTTATATGTGCCGCCAGTATTTGAAACAATTCCCCTCCCCCCAAGATAAATGAAGGAAATCGCCTCTTTCAAATTTCTCCAGTTGTTGGTGCTTAGTGCTTTCTGTTATATCCTTGCTACTTCATCAGCCGAATTGCTGATTTCGCTTCTACATATCCAAGTTTATGTGAGTAGGCATAAATCATCCGCCAACTCAAGATCTTCTGGAGTGTTTTGTTATCTCAACCTATGGCTGTCTTCCCACTCCCCGAGATCTGCCGCATGATCCAGTCGGATGCAACGAGGAATGTCAACATTGACAGTAGGTAGGCTACCCCTACTCTTATCTCCACTTCTACCTTTCCATTGCGAATAACTTGGTATGTGGTATCGTACTATAGCTTCCAACAAACATGGGCGGCTTTTAATTATTCTGTACTACAAACCTTCCATTATATGCTGTGAACTTCTCATTAAAGGTCCCACTTTATGCATAGAAAATATAAAACAAAATGACAAATTAATCCTTTCACAATGTAAGTAAACAACATGTTGTGATAACTTACTCGTAAAGCACAAAATCGTCTATGTACAATAATCCATGATAATAAGTAAATAAAACAAGGTAGTACAGCTGTAATAGCAGCACAATCAACAGGTGCTACTATCCGTAAACTGCGTATATAACAGTGTATAAATATTTGCCAAAGACTTGATAAAAGGCTACACCTTGCTATAACTTTCATAAGTTTTGGTTGATCACTTGCTACAGTTAAAGCATGATGCCTAGAAATAAGAAAAAAACAAAGCAAAGTTTATTACTTACTTGCACAGAAGAAAGTAATATTTATTTGGTTACAGGAGAACCATCGGAAAACCAGCTGGGAGTACTGGGCAGCTGTTCCGCGCCCTAGTTTGATACTCTTCAGCAATACGCACCCACTGCCAGGGTTGGAACCCAGGACCTTCCGGTTACAAGGCTAGTGAGCTCTTAGACCATTCAGCCACTAGGAATAGATCCAATGGCTAGCCCATGAATTCTACCTTCTGCCAATTCAAGTTATAGTGTGACTGTCGGGTAATGTCTTCGGTGAGTATTTGTGCTGCTGCATCCTACTAGTCACGACCTCCCAATAGAACCTCAGGTAACTACCTACCGAAATAGGACCAGTCGCTACTGAGCATTTCATTCCTTAACCTATGTCAGCTCATGATGAAATCCTGTAAACACTCAACCAAATCCCTACAAACCAATACTTGAAAACAATATTTATTTAACAGTTAAAAACCTGAACTTGGTACCTTGTGTGAGCCAAGAAATTCTCCACACGAAATAGTATAGTTTCGGTGAGAGCTGTTATACAACTGGGATGCCTAGACCGACCATCTGACTATTAGTTTGACTTGCGAGACAGTGAAGCACAGTCAGGAGCCGAGTTCCGATGGTTTCTGGTGACCAGATCCAGTCCATATTCTTTTCAGGATTCCGGAGTCAATGTTTACCATAAGTCTAAAATCAAGGTTTTTCAGCTTCTTTTGCTAGTCCCGAATGCCCATCAGTCTGGTTGCAAACACCATTTGTTCTCATTCACCCTTCTACTGTAATAAGGAGCATCTCTACCACGTGAAGATGTTGAATAGGATTTACCTGGCAATGGGTAAAAGTGGATATGTATAACTACCTGTCACTCATTGCGGTTGCGCAGTTGTACCTAGTTTCGGTGGCAATGGTGTTTATTTTTCAGGATGGTGTTCCTAGCCTCATGTCTAACCTTTCCTCTATACCGGTCTTATTACTGACTCAACGAGGTAAGGGATTACCTCGGCCGCAGATCAAACTCCTTACCCCATGGGGCGTGTTTGGAGAGCATTTTATCGCTGTGCCACCGATGCCTTTTGATAGGTTCTGGTCAGATATGTGAAACAGCGACTAGGTAAAATAAATGATATTTCGTCTATTGTACTGCACTTATAATTTGATATTGGAAGCCAGGATGAGTCACCTAGTAGCAATCATCAAAACTTGTTTATTCGCTTTTTTGGTACTGAGCAATGAAGTGTGCCTCAACGCTTTGAAGAAATTGATACATCGGTCTCTCCTTTGTGATTTGAATTTATCAATAAGCTTCAGGCAACTAGTTTCTAATTAATTATATAGTTGCATGAGTTACCAGTCGTTTACTTTGTCGCATATAGTATCATTTGTGGCCCGAATATATATTCAAGGACGATATTTCTGAATATCACCCTGTGTGGTTAAGCAAAGGACAAACAAAATCTATTCGTAGAGCTATTCTGTCCCATCTTATGGAGACAGAACACAAGATTGATGTTAACCATGCTTTCAGGGTCATTTACCGGATATCTACGAATCTCAATTTTGCCTTAAGAGTTCGTTTACTAAATATTGCTGAGACTGTGAGATCCATGTTAACAAGCCTAATTTGTTCATCCAAAACAAGTTAGTTCAGACATTTTCCCAACCTTGGCCATCCAGGTTTGAATAATCCAGAATTTTTGTGAAATTTCCCTAATTTTAGCTGATATTCTATTCGCTATTATATCTTTATTATTATTATTACTATTTAAGCATCTTTAATGAAATGTAATTCCAATGTGATCTTACTTTACACGTCGATATTATTTAAGAAACACCAATATTGTTATTAACTACTATGATAGAATATTCTATGTGTATAAACATGTATTTATAATTGTAGAGCCAGAAGAGAAATTCATCGAAAAAGATATTCTCTGCTCGATTATTTTGTGTTTTATAGATTTCTGAGCTTGACATTCACTGACGCAAGTTTCAAATGAGGGGATAAGAGAAGAATCAGTGTAGGCTTTCTATCAAACGACTCCTTAAATGCATAGGATTATAGGCCTTTGAGGACTAGGGAAACAGTCCAAAACTAATCGGAAGTTATTAGGAGCATTGCCGTTGTGAAGCTTATCACTGTGATTGGATTAACCCATGTTGATGGATTGTGTCAAAGACTAACTGTCGTGTTAGCAGGCTAATTAGTTATTATCAATTTATCTTGAACGACTACAGTAATTCTTGTTCAGAAATATGCACTGAAGATGTTGCCTAGTTGAGCAATGAAGGCTTCACAAATAAACTACCCAGTACCTCAGAGAACATAACTACATCAGAATCTTTAACCAATTTATTAATCGGTAATACATCATTTGAAATAATATTGTCCTATAACAAATCACGCTCTTAAGTCTAATGTCTCCCCCCTACTTCACTGCCTTAGATAAATCCATGGCAGTAGAGAAAACAGAGGTGATGAAGACTCCTGGACAACAACAACAGACAGCAATCAGCATAAATGGGAGGAACCTGAAAGAAACAACCTCCTTTACCTACCAACCTGGGAAGCATCGTTTCAACTATAGGCGGCGGAACTGACGAGGATATCAAAGCAAGAATAGGAAAAGCAAAACAAGCTTTCACTACTCTCAAGTCTGTGTGGAGGTCAACAGCACTAATCAGCATCAAAAATAAGATCCGGATTTTCAACTCCAATGTGAAGTCAGTCAGTGCTACTTACCATACGGATCAGAGACTTGCACTGCGCGTCATAAAGAGCATCTCAGACAAACTACAGACCTTCATCAACAGCCAGATGTCTTCGCTCAATACTCAAGATCAGATGGCCGGCCAGAAAAGATCAGCAACAGAGATCTGGGAGCGAACCAACCTAGCAGGAACCGATTGTGAAACAAATAGGCAAGAAGAAATGTAGATGGAATGGCCATACTCTAAGGAAACCATCAAGTGATATCACTAGACAAGCCATCGCTCGAGTGGAACCCGAAATGGAAGCGGCGAGTTGGTTGCTAGTGCAAGGGTGACTTGGAGGAGGTCATGTGAAGAGGAGATGAAAGTTTGTGGGTAGACTTGGAATCAATTGAAAAATCTAGGAGACGGCCGAACGCAATGGAGACGCGCGGATGAAGCCTTATGTTTCTCTAGGAATTATTTGAAAATAGGCATCAGCACAGACTACAATTATTATTATTATTATTACTATTATTCCCAAAGGTTCAGATTAGATAACAGTTCTTCAACAGCACATATCCACTTCATACTGTCCTCTACAGTCCTCATTGGGTAGCTCGACGATTGACATATTCTTTTATTTCTTCCTCACAGATACTCTTCTATGCATTCCTCAGACAACCAGGCTGTCGTTTACTATTCGGATTTCACCCCAGAGTTTACCTGACGTGGTATGTCACTAAACGGTCTACTTCAGCGTGTGTCCAACCCATCTCTAATTCCTTTTGCATATTTTCTGGGTAAAAGATGCTTAATTGGTTTATTCCCAGAGTTCCTCTTTGCTTATACTTTCTTGACGAATATTTGATCTTCCGTAAGGACTGAAGTCACCTGTTAAGGAGATCACCGATACTCCCTATAGTAGCATCACTGCCTACTATCTCCAGTGATTTTCCTGAGTGCGGGAGATAGAATGAATAGTGCGAGAGACTGCGACAGGTAACGAGGAGACAGGCATAAAATGTACCCACACAAAAAGACCTGGAGGATCTGGAATTCGCCGGTGTGAAAAATGCCTGATTTCCGACAGACTGGAAGATATGTAAATGAAATGCAACAAATTGGCAGAGGATGCATCCAGAGAAGACAGGATTTCAGGTGAACACGGAGAAAACACAGGTAATGATGGAGATTCCTGGCCAACAGCAACAACGACAACAGACAACAGTCACCACATTTGGGAGAAAATTGAAAACAGCAACCTCCTTCACCTACCGACCTACGTGGAAAGCATCGTTTCAACTACAGGCAGACGGAACTGATGAGGATATCAAAGTGTGAGGATCGGAAAAGCAAGGCCAGCTTTCATTACTCTCAAATCTGTATAAAGATCAACAGCACTCAGCATGAAAATGAAAATAAGACCGGCACTTTCAACTCCAATGTCAAGTCAGTGCGCCACATCACGAAGGTCACTTCGAACGAACTACACACCTCCATCAACAGCTATCTTCGCTCAGTATCACTCAGGATAAAGTGGGCGGCCAGTAAACATCAGCACCAAGGACCGCTGGGAGCGAACCAACCCAGCAGTGATCAATTGTGCAAGAAATCTGCAGGCAGAAATGGAGGTGGATTGGCCATACTCTGAGAAAACAAACCATCAAGTGAGTGACATCACACCCCAGGCCATCTCTTGAATGAATCCCAACCTAATTGGAAGTGGTGATTTGGTGGTCAGTGCGAGGGTGACATTGAGGAGGAGGTGATGTGAAGAGGAGAAGAAAGCATCTAGGTAGATGTGGAGCCAGGTGAAAACGTTGGCAGAAAATCAAAGGTATTGGAGACGTGAGGCTGAAGCCCTATGGTTCTCTAGGAATTAAAGGAAACAATAATAATAGTATCTAATATGGAGTTATATTATACCACAACGCCCAAGTTTTACGCTTACATTAATGATACCCAATGTAAATGATTCTGATGGAAAGCCTGTGTACGATGCAAGAATGTAATTTGGCAATTTAAACAACACGAAATAGAGAAAATTAGATGCATTTCAGTGGGTAGGATACAAGGCAGCTGACTGATTTAGGCAGCCGCGTTAATTTGTTTTACCCGCTTCCATATCACATATTACTTATGAACTTTTAAAATGAGTAGAAGCATCCGACCTTATAATATAATGATGATGATGAAATAAAAACTGATCACCAAAAAGCAGAAATTGGATTACCACAATTTGTGCACGAAATCAGATACTTACATGATCATTTCATTGAGATTGGTTGTCTCCAAACGAAATAACAAAGTAAAAATGAGGTGTACAGGATAAATAAGAATTAACCAAAATGATATAGAATAGGAAGCCAATGATGGAGGATTTACAAGTTCCTGAAAAAGGTATAAAAAGAACATTTCACTCTTATGTAATGTAACCATTGCATATGAATTTAAAGACGAATAGGTAAGTAAACACTATAAAAGCAGAGTGGCACACCTGGCCTGTTGGATAAGAGTTAACCTCATCTGTTTCACTAGTCGGTTCTTAGCTCGGAAGAAGAGAAAAGGTTAGGTGTGGGGCTGAAGACCCCACCTTAGGAAATAAACTCAATCGCCTTGGAGAATCCAAAGCGTTAGAAAAACAATTCGGGCTGGTGAGAGCCTTCAGGGGACCAGTCAGCCAAAGTACCCTCTTACGATGAAGGCAAAGATAAACAATCGGACGTGGAATGTTCACAAAATGTTTGAAAATAGGAAGGCTGCTAGGAATCGACGAGAACAAATAGAATTTCAATTGACTCTCCAAATTGTCATTTGGAGGGCTGATAGTTTACTCCAGTCATCTAGACGATAACCAAAAATACATTGAGGGAGTGGCCATCATGTAGGAAGAAATATAGATGGATGGGACAACACACACTTAGGAAGTTTTACTTCATTTTCAAGCAATCAGTTGACACTGAATTACCATTTGTACAGCTTTGCCAAAATGTCACTTCCTCTTATTATGTAGAAATTAGGTTTGTAAGCGTCTGATAACTTTCCTTTTAGGTTGACCGAAGTTAGTCAGTGAGAATACTTGCAGCGATATCTTAATACAGTATAAGAAACATGTCGAAATTGAAATGCCTAGCTTTTTACGAGGTGATCTAACAGTCCATCCTTTCTATCACAGAAACTGACGTCTATGACGTGATGAAATATTAGGTAGCTTCAAAACGCATCAAAGATTACTTCTCACTCAATGTTCATAATTATAAACGTTTTTGTATTTCCCAATGAATGAATGAAAAACACAACGATATTGTTGTTTTTACTGACATTTCGCTATCTAAGGCTGCTAATAGCTTTATCAAAGTATTATTAAACCAGAATTTACAAAATCTCACCTTATACATATGGCAAATTAATCATCGTCCATCAGCATGGGGAAGCTTTACGTTGTCAAGACTGCCAGTTGGCAAAGATAACAGAACCAATTGTAGTCTGATGGATTTGATGAGTGTATAAAATTATAAAAGCAGCATGTGTTTACATAATAAAGTTACTTTTCACATTCATGTTGAAGGTGACTGGATGTTGTAACCAGGTCAAATTCTGTTTAAGTTCATCATTCCCATTCAGATAATTTGGATTCCATTTGATATGAAGTGCTTCTGATAATATCCGACGTTCTTTGTGATTTCTGAAATCATTTTTCTGGATTATTTCAATATTATCGAAATCAGTTTTGTGACCTGTTAATTTTTCAAGCTTTTCTAGTTCCGTTGGATTGCTCGGTGGTGGAAAAGATGCTCTACGATGTTCATTTCTTTTGATTACCTTGATTTCTTTCTGCCGTGGTTTGTCCGATGTATATCGCATCACATTCCGAGCATTTTATTTTATAGACACACTTAGATAGATAATATTTAAGGATTTTGTCTTTTATATAGACAAGGTTGATTTGTAGTGTGTCCGATATTTTTATGAAAACCCTCGTATTGTGCTTATTGAGTACTCTTCCAATATCGTCTGACGTCTCTGCTGTCTATAAAGTGACAACTATTGAGATCCATGTCTTTGGAATACGTTTTCGATTGTATCTAATAACGGTGTTGGCTTTGTTGACAAAGTTCTTTGGGCAGCTATTTTTCTTTAGAATCTCAGTTTTGTTATTATTAGGAGGTGAACGACCTGACAACGCAAAACCTACTCCAAGCTGATGAACACTGATTAAGTTGTTATATATAAGCTGAGATTTTGTTAATTCTGGTTTAATGATACTACTCTGATGAAGGTATTAGCAGCATTGAATAGCGAAATGTCAGTAAAAACAACATCGTTTTGTTTTTCATTCAGTCATTAGGAAATGCAAACACTTTTATAATAATGAATATCACATATAGCCAAAGCATAAATTTTTTCAAACTATTAAAAGTAAACTTGGTTTGGACGTGTATATATATCTTACTCAGTGTGTTACACACAGATCACAATATGTGATCCACTTGATAAAACTTTTACCTTGAACTGTGTGAATTCGATTCATCAAATTAGCAGATAGCCCATATAGCTGATCGGAAATCAGCTAACTGGAACTGAGTCTGTTCTGTGAGTTTAGTTAAATAGGGTAAGGCAGTGATGTGCTTTGCCCCAGTTTATTGGAATAGCCATCCGGCGTTTAGATCGATTCGATCTAGCTGGCACAAACTACTGGACACAACAACTCATGTCACTCAATCAATATTTAAGAGTTTTATGCAAAAGTGAGCGTGAGATAACTGAAACAAACAAGGAGACTTCAAGCGGAATAATGATAAGCGATACATGTAAGAGTAACACACTGTCCATGTTGAAGAAATTATATATATCAGGCAGTGTTGAATGTTAACGCATTCTGATTTACGAAATATCGTTGAAACATCTATCACGCTGACTAACTGAAAGCAAAAACTAGGCAAAAGGAGATTTCAGTGCAGATTTTATCACTAACGGGTATCGATCAGGGGATCAATGAAATTCACTCAGCACTGAACAGATGTTTCGTCCTAGTTTCAGCTTCTTCAGAAGAAAACAACAAAAGCCTTCAAGTAATGTTACGAACCTATGAACTTTGCATCCCGCAACTAGGACGTAATCGTTATTCAGTATTCCCGGGTTTTCAGTGATCCTCTAAATGATGTTGGTTTGTACACAAGATCTTCATTTCGATCCATCCAAATTTTATTCAAAATATAAAACAATATTCTAAACATTCCATATTAGTCTGTTTATTAGATATATCACACACACATAGTGGAACAGTATTATTTACTGGATGACGAAATTGAGAACACAATCTAATATTTTTCATAATCATTTCATCAATTGTAATCACACGACTTCGAAACTTGAGTTTTATAGTTTTTGTTGTTCTCTCCTACTTGTCTTCGTCGGGGTAGTAGAATTTTCCAGATATCTGGGTGGACAGGTGTTGAATTATTCCCATTAAACGCATTCTCTTCAGTTGATTCGATAAACAAAGCTTCTGTTATGAATCTCTCCCTCCATCCTGTTACATTAGATTTTTAAACTGTCATCTTATCCCATCCTATTGTATGCTTGTATTCAGAGAATAGTTCAGCTATAGCACTACATGGAATTACACACAACCATACAATAGGATGGGATAAGATGACAATTTTAAAATCTAATGTCACAGAGTGGAGGGAGAGATTGATAACAGAAGCTTTGTTCATCGAATCAACTGCAAACACGTGTAATACGAATGATTGAACACTTGTCCACCCAGATATCTGGAAAATTCTACTACCCCGACGACGGCAATTAGGAAAGAACAAAGAAAACTATAAAACTCAAGTTTCGAAGTCGTGTGATTATGATTGATTAAATGATTATCAACAGTTAATTTTGTTCCAAACTGTGTCATCCAGTAAATAATACTGATTCAGTGTGTGATACATCTAATAAACAAACTAATATGAAATCAAGTGTTGGTTTGTAGGGATTTGATTGATTACAGGATTTTCATCATGAGCTGACATTAGTTAGAGAACCATTGGAAAACCTGGGAGTACTGGACAGCTGTTTCGTCCTAGTTTGGGACTCGTCAGCACTACGCACCCACCAGGATTCGAACCCATGACCTTCTGGTCGGGCGTGAGGACAAATACTCGCCGAAGACATTGGCTAGGGGTCGCGCTATGTCGTGAATTGGCAGAAGTTAGAATTCATGGACCATTGGATCGGGTCCCAGTGGCTTAATGGTATACGAGCTCGCCTTGTAACCAGAAGGTCTTGGGTTCGAACCCCTGAAGTGGGTGCATACTGATGAAGAGTCCCAAACTAGGACGAAACAGCTGTCCAGTACTCCGTGCAGGTTTTCCAATGGTTCTCTAACTAATGTCAGCTCATGATGAAAATCCTGTAATATGAAATCAATTACAATCACACTGCCCAAATTTTACACATATAGTAACACTCTTATATGTAGACTTACCTGAAAGTTAGAGCTATTCCAATGACTAGAAACGTATATATTTGGTATACAATGTATGAAACTGACAAAGGATACACTAACCAGTATTGTGGTGAAAAAACACCACATAATTTGCCATATTAAATGCTTTAATTGACCTGTATTCTGTTTCCTTGTTGGTATACATTTCCAATTGTGTTGTTTATACAAACGTTTCATAGCCACTTGGACTTTATTCGGTGTAGTCTGGGAATTTTGTTTCATCTCAGTATCATCTTGTCCCGGTTGATTGGCAGTAAACGGTAGTACAGGGACTTCTAATTTAATAGAAGAGATACTATTTTTATTCGTTGAGTTTTCTTGACGTAATTGTTGTGTCAGTTGATCACTTGACAATTCACTTGGAAGGCAGGAAACAGCAATTTTATGCTTCTGTTGTTGGTGGTGGTCATGGCGGTGACCTTTCCTTGGATTCCGTGTATGCTTTGATGTCAGTGTATTCTGATTGTCACTTAGTATATTCCCAGAAAATACAGGTTCTAGTGTTTCACTTGATTGGCTTTCTTTATAAAAATGATGCAGGCGTCTTGATTTCAATCGAATTGGAGGTAGTTTGAAACATAAGCAACCATGCTAAAGAGAGGGGAGAGAAGAACTCTGAAGACTCAGGTGGTTTAAAAACTTAGTTAGAGCATTGTTCAATAGAGGACGAGAAAAATCGATTATGACAATACAACTGAATATAAAATAAACAATCCGAAGAATATTTTCATTATAATAAAGGTTTTTGTATTTCCCATTGAATGAAAAAGAGAAAAACGATCTTGTTTTTTTCAAGTATTGGTTTGGTAGGGATTTTGTTTAATTGTATGGAGGGTTTCATCATGAGCTGACATCAGTTAGAGAACCACTGGCATTCAAACCCAGAAGGTCCTGGGTTCGAATCCCGGTGGGCGCGTACTGCTGAAGAGCCCCAAACTAGGACGAAACAGCTGTCCACTACTCCCAGCTGGTTTTCCAGTGGTTCTCTAACTGATGTCAGCTCATGATAAAACCCTCCATACGATCTTGTTTTTACTGATGCTTTGCTATTTAATGCTAATAGCTTTATCAAAGTATTATTAAACCGGAATTTACAAAATCTCAACATATATATAACAAAGAGTTAAGAGGTGAGAAAATAGACTTAGGCCAAGTTAAAAGGACATAACAATGAAGATCACTTGACCAAATAACAAAGGTAATAGTACATCTGTTATGGTATCAAAATAAAGTTTACTAACTTGATCATCGTTCGTTAGTCTGGGGTCATTTTTCGTTGTCAAGTTGGTCATTTGGTAAAGATAACAAAATCAAGTGTAGATTGTTGGATTTGATCAGTGTGTAAAATTATAAAACCAGTGTATGCTTACGTAGTGAACCTGCTTATCAAATTCGTGTTGATTTTGTCACTTCATTGACGAGGGGAGGGAAGTGTTGTAACCAAGTCAATTTCTGTTTTAGTCCATCATTCGTATTCAGGCAATTTGGATTCTACATGATATGAAGTGCTTCTGATGATATTAGACGTTCTTTATGATTTCTGAAGTTTTCCTGGATTATTTCAATATTGTCAAAATCAATTTTGTGACCTGATTCTGTAGCGTGTAGACGACCTATGGCTGATGATTTTTCAAGTTTTTCCAGTTCAATTGGATTTCTTGGTGGTCGAATAGATGCTCTACGGTGTTCATTTCTTCTGGTTTTTGATTTCTCCCCGGGGATGTTTTTCCGGTGTATATCGCATCACATTCCAAGCATTTTATTTTATAGACACAATTAGATAGATAATATTTTATCTTAGAATGAAAACCCTTTGAGGTTCATCAATAAGTACTCTAAAGAAATAAACCCTAGTAAAACAATCCAAACACTTCCAAATAAAGATGGATCAGAGTATATCGGCCGTACGCAACTTCAAGTCCGCAAAGGTATTCTGGAACACTATCCAACTTGGCTAGCCAGAGGAGAAAAGAAGAATAGCAGAAGCGCTATCCTCAAACACCTTGAAATCTCTGGACATCGAGCACCCCCTCATGAATGCTTCACAGCGCTACACAGAGTCCCTCAATATCGTACACAGCAATTTCTCATACGCCAGTTGTATATAGCTGAAGCATTAGCCATCCGGGATCTGAAACCGGACCTCTGCATTCAAAAGCGCTGCATGCATTCACTCGCCCTACCATGGCCATGGTAAAGTTCTTACTATAATTCTGCTTCTTCTTACATAAGTTCACTATTATTTTTATTATTTTATCATCATTATCATTCCCATCATCCATATTTTATTACCACTATATTATTGTTTATTAATAACAACACTGCTTTTTCATACAGATTTTATATAAAAACACTTTATTGCCTTTCCACTAGTTCCTGTACATTCTGCACGAGCTTAATGGTTAGTCTTCATCTCACACTTATTACGTCATGAGGACTTCTGCCCCCTTTTCTGATTTCCACTTAGTCACCCCTTTTAGACTGCACCTTACATTATGTAATACATTTATCGAGGACAAAGTTTGCCAGTATATGATTGGTCTAAAGATTTCTTTGTTAATTATAATTACGATTGTACAGCTCATGAAAATGAATCGTCAAAAAGAAAATTTTCTTCGCTGTTTACGCGTTTTTCTTATGGCTCATTTTGGAAATATTTCGTATGTATGTATGTATATCAATTCACCACTTAAAGGAAATGGTGTACAAGAAGTACAAGGAGTTCAACGGAAGCTTTATGAAGCTGTCAGGAGAACTTGTTATACTGCAGAACTCGTCTACCTTGTCACCGCCAAGTGGGTAATTCAGAATTCTGGGAAAGACTAGTCGATAGTCCTCTACACTTCAAACTGTGTACACCACTTTATGTTTGTGTTTTTGTAATTAAATACATAAGCTGTACCGAAAGACAGGTGTCTACTCGCATGATGAAGTATTCGTCAAAGTGGTTGAAAACAACTTTGGAGTCAAATTACCTAAAAGTTCAATAAAAACCATGTTGTGAACTACAGACATGATAATACGCTTTGAAGCCATTCACGCTGTTGTCCGCAGACAAACATACAGGAAATTTTCAAGTATTGGTTTGTCAGCTCGTGATAAAATCCTGTAACCAATCCATCAAAATACCTACTAACCAATACTTGAAAATTAATGAGGTGCTCACTAGCAACTTGCCCTATTCAGGTAGGTACTTACATGGGGTTCTAGTGGGAAAATGTAATCAGTAGGGCGCAGTTGTACGAATTCATCTTTTACATAAAACTGACGTCTTTGGAATCCACTAAAGGAAGCCTAATTCAAGTGCAATTCTATTATGGATGACATTTTATTTTGATAAAGTCACACAATGGTGTTATACAAGAAGTAATATTTACTGATGATGACCACGTTTCGAGCACAATTTATTACTACTGCTCATAATCCCACCAAGATATCGACCAAAGGGCGTGTGTGCTGCTCAACAGTCCACTCTGTCCTCCTTTATGGCTGTGAGACCTGGCCATTGAGAACGGGAGACATGAAAAGATTAGCTGTCTTCGATCATAGGTGTCTGCGTTCTATCTCCCGCGTGAAGTGGTATAATAGGATGAGCAATATTGAGGTTAGGTATCCATTGAGTGCTAAGTAGGGAGGGGAAACCAATCGACGAGGTTGTGAAATTGCATCGATTGAGATGGTTAGGACATGTGCTACGTATGCCTAGTCATCGCCTTCCTCGACGGGCAATGTTAGCTGATATAGGGTCAGGCTGGAAAAGAGCTAGCGGCGGTCAAACGAAAACATGGTACCAGTCAATGAAATCGACAACAGTTAGTTTAAGCCGGCCACGTAGGAAGGTGTAGACTTCCTGGTTGGGTTCCTTGGGACGGTAAAAACCGATGGTTGGAAACAATTGGTGACATGGCTCAAAATCGTTCTCAGTGGCGCAGATGCATCCACTCCTTGTGACTCATGATTTCCAGTGAAACTGTTTTGTTCTTCGTTATTACTATTCCTTTGTCTCACACCTCTGTTTACTGTCTATATTATGCATTTCTCCTACTTTCTTCTCTTGCTTCATTTGCTACATGGAGGGAGTGTGGCGACTTGAACTGCCGCACATATGTGCAAAGTTCTATGTCGAAAACCGACCGACCGAATCATATAAAGACACTACTCAAACAACTTTCTTGCTTCATTTATATACATGAGTAAAAATTGATGGTTAGACATTCGAATCAGATCAATATATATATATATATATATATATATATTGCAGATTAAAAATGTTAAGCGTTCGTTTGGTTAACCATTGGATATTATTTTTAATAACTTTTTCATTAGATCCAACATTTGTATTGTATTGGATTACTGTTATTGACAACATTGAAGTTTAAAAGAACACCTTATTGCTATCTCGTCAGATTACATTTCGGAAGCATCTGTAAGTGGCATTAGGCATTAGCATAATATTAAAACTGAATATCAGACATATTAAGAGAAATATTACAAAATTTAGCGATTCTTAATTTCGACAGCAAGCCAGATTAGCAGCTGCGGCTGAAACTGTTTCTTATACACACAGAAATCTGGTTGTTTTTTAGGTGAATCGCAATCAGTCCTACCTTTTGCCATGTTCGATATTCGTAGGCCTTTGAAAATTTATATCTATCTTGGAAAATTCCTCGTGAAACACATGTCTAAGAGGGGAGAAGAGAATTCTTCTGTTTCTGTTAACAAGATGCCCTATGAACAAATTTATTTATTCCTTTATGTTTCCAGTGGAACATAGGGCTTCAAGCTACAGGTTTGAAGTTTTGGTAGCATTGGTTGCTAGTCTCATGCCCAACCTTCCCTCTATACCAGCCTTACTGCTAGCTTAGAGAGGTAGAGGAGTGTGTCGGCTGGGAGTCTAACACCGGACCACCTGTGTGGTTGGCGGGCGTTCTAGCGCTGTGTCACGACTGTAATTCAAAATTGATGTGCCAAGCAAAATACTAACCAACGAGTTGAGAAGATTAGCTCCAGGGACTTATAAAGCCAATAAGCTGCAGCTCACATTTTTCACACGACCAGTCGTGTGAATCAGAAAGACTGCTTCTGTAGAATCAGTTATATTGACTGTTGCTCTAGGAACTCAATTTTTCCTACTCAGGAACATCTACTAATGTGGCTGAATCAGGGTGTAATTAAAATCATCATCAGTTCTATATGAATACATATACATTCAGTCTTATTATCTAATGGTTATCCAGGAAACTTTATCAATTGTCACAGTAAGGGTAGACCACATCTTCAGAAAAGACAGCTTCTGTACCAAAGAAAGTTATCTTTATTAACCTACCAGTCAAGGGTCTACCAGATTATTCAGTTGACAGCTAGCTCAAAGACTTCGGTCATCCATCAAACGCACAAGCAGAACATTTGCGATCCCTGTACCTACGATTAAAGGACGAAATTCTATGGACTCTACTTCAAACTGTATCTACAAGTTTACCTTTGTAATGTTCCAATATGGTCATCGAAAAGAACATGTTCCAAAATGGTTATTAAAACATATAGAAAATCCCAATGAAATTAATCTGAATAGAAATCCGTCACCATCATCC